ACAAAGGGAAAAAAGCCTACATGTAAATTTGCAGGATATATGTATGGATACAGTGCCCTTCAAATGTATTCATACCCCTAATGAAAACAGAAACAAAAAGACCCCATATAGCAGAAGTGCTGACAACTGTCATTCTACGAGTGTGGCATTCTTCACTGTCCTGCAGGAAAAGAAGTCACTTCTGAGGTCAAACCACAAAATGAGGCAACTTAGACTTGCCAAATATCATTTGAATGACAATTGAACAAAATCAGCAGCCAAGACGAAATGAAAGTTGAGCTTTTTGGACATGCTCGTCAGTGTCATGTTCAGTGTATGAAAGATAAACTAGTGTTGAGAAAACTGTCAAATATTGTTTTGCATTGTTGAGTTCTGAAGCCCTTGTCAAGCTAGGTGAAATCATGAACTACAACAGGTATCAAAACATTTTGGCCAAACACCTGGTTTATTCTGCCAAGAAGCTCAATTGTGGCTGAAAGTGGACATTCCAATACAACAATGATCCCAAAACACATCCAAACTGACAATAGAATACGTAACTGCACACAGTACAGTTCTTGACCATCCATCTCAATCTCCAGACCTCAATCCAATAACAGGTAGTTAACTTCAGAAACCAAAGAGTCTGGAGGATAATTCCACATGGAGGAACATTTCTAAATCTCCCCTCTAATGGTCCTAGAACATTAAGGAACATTACAGAAAGCATCTAGTCACTGTATTCCCTGCCAAAGGAGGACTTACAAAGCACTCACCACAGGAGTGAATAAATGTGACCCCTTTCATGTCTTCTGGACATCATTCATGTCAATAATAACTCTGTGCAATACTATTAAGATTACTTTATAACATTTTTAGAGTTCTTAAACATTTTCCAATCTGTAAATCTCTTTTGTTTTTTTATTGTTCCTGTTTCTCTGGGGGAATGAAGAGATTTGAGGGACACTGTATGCCTTACTTTTTTCAGGCCACAGCAGCAGCATGACAGCCTTAACCAACTCTGACTGCGACACATGATTTCCACATTTCTGCGCTACAGAAAAGAACACATTCACAAGAGGGGGTAGTTTTATAAAAACTCAGCTACGTTTTGCTTTAAAGAATGTTTTGGCGGAGACAACGGAAACAAATGATGTGTTATTATTTTTTTAGAAAAAAAAGTTCAGACAAAGTTGAATAGAGGGTAAAGTAAACACCTGTAGATGAATTGGCAGGGATGACAGCAGAGTCTCCTGTGAGCCTCAGCCACCCACAGTCTGTGACTGAAGAGCTGCAGTGCTCCAGTTGTGCACTGCAGCCCCTGTTTTCTCTGTGGAACAGAGCACTGATAAGATCCAGGGGAAGAATTGTTCAGTGCCGACAAGTAACAAAGTCCCACATTGTTTCTGGAGTGTGAAGTCTGAAGTGCCATGGGCTTGTGAGTACTTGCTAAACAGGCTGTCTTTTAATGCAGAACGTGAAGCGTTGTGTTTAGTTTATATAGCAGCGTTCAGTCCTACAAATGCTCTTTACCGATCAAATGATCAAATACAGCTCTAAAAAATAAAGATGCGTTTTGTGAATTAAGAATCCTTGAAATTGAAACTGGAGGATTCGTGCCCAGCATGGGTTTAGGCACAACCCTTTATTCGGACTCGCTAAACACAGATCACATGGATCACATCAGACTGAAGACAGCGTGTTCATTCTGACGCTCTGGATCGCTTCCAATCTCGGCACTGTCTCCTCATTAAAAACCACACCGATTCACAAACCAAATTAATGCCCAATTTCCTCTACTTGTTGCCCTGCTGCCAATGTAAATTAGATTTCAAGTGGTCCTTAGCAATTAAATTAAAGGCTGAATTAGGTTTAGGCATCTGCAGAATTAGTTCTTTCTTGTAGGGCATAGAATCTCAGCTCATGGCTTCAAATACATTTTCATTCTCGATCAATCGCATGAGAAACACTGCTGCTCAATCTTTCTTGCTGCCTTTAACAATTTCACATTCCTGTTAGAGTCACTGTAGGGCAATTAATTAGAGCAAAACATGAGTTCTCTATTTTCCTTTGTTGAAATGCATTTGGACACATCTCCCCACTCCAGGTGGTCCAGGAATTAGTTATCCTCGCAGACCAGGCTACAATGCCTGCTGCAATATTATTACCCAACAGTCCCCAGATTTGAGATGGCAATTAGCACTGCTGCTTCACAGCTCTTGGACCGTGGGTTGGAGTTCAGCCTAGGCAGCCTTCTGTCTGGAGTCTATATGATCTACCCATGACCATGTGGGTTCTCCAGAGATGTGCTTGTTATGCTAATTAGTGTCTCCACATTTGCAATTAACTGTATTCGTGTCATAGCTTAAATGCCACCCTGTCCCCCATGCTTTCATGGGAAGGATCCACTTCTGATACGGTATGATGTCTGTTTGGTCTTGTTTCTTTCTGTGTGTCCGCTGGGGGCTCTGCTGCCGACATCAGTGAAGAACTGCAGGTTCTGCAGCAGACTTTAGGTATGGTGAGGCCTTCTGGAATACTCTGCCTCAGACATGTTCACGTTTACAGGGAGAGGACTCCCGCTGAACACCAGTCTGGCTCATTCTGGGATAGACAAGCCCAGGAACCTGCTGCAAAGTGTTGCCATGAAACTTAAAGCAAAAGCTTTTATATTAAATTAAATGTACGTGCCTCTAAACTGTGTAACTCGCAGACATTCAAGACTTTCGGGCTCATTAGTAAGTCCTGCAGCCTGTTAAACGTTTCCCCAACACTTCAGGATTTCAGGGTGCATACACAAGCTGTATAAACATTCCTCAACTGTCTTTTTTATTCTAAGCTGCTATTCTAAATTAGTCATTTATTTTTTTACCTACGTCTCTACTTAAGATCTCCATTATGTAACCTTGTAGGTCATAAAATAATATTTAAATAATAATGAATAATTCCTTACACTTACATAGTGCTTTTCTGGACACTCCACTCAAATCGCTTTACAGATATGTAAAATGTAAAATTTCTTAAACTAAGACGGAGAACAAAACAGATTTTGGCATTATGGAGAGTGTCCTGAGAAGCTATTGGGATTTACTGTGTGCAAACACGAACAAATATTGAAAGTCCTCGTCTTCATTTTCAGTTCAATCACTACAGGCGAAGTGCTAAGTTAGTGAAACTTTTTCCTTTCTTTAAAAAAAAAAACTGAACGTTTCCTTCAAACCCCTAGCAATAGCATGACGACTGAATATTTTTGAAAAAAACTGTTTGCAATTCATGGGAAGTGGTAATGAATACTTTTCACGATACGCACCAGCCAAAGATTCTGACCGGCCGTGAGAATCCTTCACCCCTCATTGGTTACGCTGGGCATCCGAGTGCTGCTCGGAGTGACTCTAGAAACCAAGTTATTAACCACGAATGGTTCGCTGCTGATAACATTAACAGACTACCGATATTCTAATGGCTCAGCCTGCTTCCCACGGTGCTTTTAGAAGCTGAATTCTGCATACCTTTAAATGCCTCATTTGGCATTCCAGTCTGTGATTCAAGCCCTCTCTGTAGGGAATCCAATTTGTTTTTACATGACCAGTGCACTTTAATTTATTAGATTAACTGTACATCTACAGCCAATCAATTAACCATTAATCGAAACACGTACAGTAGGTAAGAGCTCCGCACATCTGTGCCGCCTCTCCCCAGCCCGCCCAGGTGCTTGAACAAGAGCGGCAACTCCTCTTGTGTTTCAGCGTTTGCTTTGTGTTTCCCGCACGACAGGCGGAAGAAGCCCTTGTTTGCTGTACGAGAGATGTGCTGGCATGGCCAGCGGGGAAGGTTGCGATTAAATGACCTTCAGCTGGGTCGATCAACAGACCCAGTTTTACAGAGGTGTCTGGAGGTAAGCGGGGCAGTTTTAGCAAGCAATGATGTAGTTTACGGACTTTCCCCCCCCCCCTTTAAATCTAAAGTTTGGAGGATCTCGAAAGACTTGGTGCTGCTAATCAGATAACCACCCTCACGCCTGGAGGCATCCAAGGGTGGAGTCTCCATGGATACCCCCCACAGCACAAACATAGACTAGGCTGCCTTGGCGTTTTATTGGCCCTCAGAGGTAGAATGTTAATTAAAAGATCATTTCTACACGGTTAACCACTGTTATTACTCCCAGCAGACAGAAAACAATATTCCCGAAGGAGCAAACAACTGGATTGAAAGGACATGGAAGTCATCACGACTCCTGCTAATACTAATAATGAGACTACTTAGAAATGCGATTTGGATCATAAGTTTTGATACAACAGTAATATAAAATACATGACACAATTGTCGTCTTTAGCACTGAAACTGGCTGGTATGTTGACGTTTTAGAAGTCTAAGGATACAGGACAAATAGTAGTTTTGTGGTTTTTGATCGTCCAGCGAATAAGATCTTGTATATATCAAGCATCGTGTGGAGACATGGTAGGATCTCTGGGATCGCGGCTACAAAAGTACAACTTCCAATGCCGAGTGGCAAGTTGTTGATACACTGCTGTCGTAGTTTAAACAAGGAGGTATTTTGGGACTTTTCCGTAAAATATCAAGCTGGAAAAGTGTAACTCCACGCCATACTCTATAACTGTTAAGTGACTGGATAAAAGCGTCGGCCGTCTAAATTAATAATGCTCGAGTACTCGAAGTCCGTATTCTTTAAGAGTTTCTCAAAAGTTGGTTAGCCCCTAAGACAGTGTCTCAGGACAGCGCAAGGCACTCACTTGATCCGTCCAGCGACCTTCCAAAACAGGTGCCAAAGGGAAAAGCCCTACTTTGCGACACGGACAACCGCGAAAACAAACCGATCACCCCATTCATCGGGACCTAAGGTGCGTTCTCACAGCAGACAAAGCAGACATAAGAAGGGAGAGTTTGCACAGCTCACTTTATAGAGATGCGCGTGTTCCTCTCCTGGGAAAAGTCAACAGGATTTTGCCCACACACATGACGCCCGAGCCCGTTTCTCCTGCCGGCGTGCACACACTACTTACAGCCTCTCTGCATTCCTGGGAATTCCCTTCGGCACTGTCCTGAATCCCTGCCCGTGGCAATCCACATGAGATCCGGAGCAACTGCATTTGTGAGGGCATCCATTCACGGTCAAAAAGCACAGCAATCCGCAAATTAGAGCCAAAATCCTCCGGGAGCTCTGTGCTCCCCGGTCTGAGCGCAGCATCGTATCCGCCTCGGCTGCAAGCAGCCTTGCCTTCAGCCTATGCAATTCGCGAAAAGAAGTTTAAAACAAAACAAAACAAAAAATCCAGACAGTGCTCAGCTTTCTGTTATAATCCCCCTCAGATGGGATTTCAAGACGGACCAGAAGGAAGGTGTAGATCAGGTCTAGGAGGTTTGACTTCTTCTGGGGTCGGCTGGATAGTTGCGCTCAGAGAACCCCTCGGTTTGGGGGGCGTTTTAATACCATTGAGGCGGACAAACTGGGGAGAAAGAGAGTGAGAGGGACAGAAAGTGACCAGGAACAAAGTTTTGTCTTTTCATGAGGAGCAAGCCAATAACAGGACGAAAATCATCGGAACGAAGATGAGCCACCCATCACCCCTTTTCACCCGCAATGCGCCCCCTTTTTTTCCCCTCGCGTTCTGTGGCGAGGCAACTCGAAGCTTGTGTGTGTGGGGGGTAGGGGAAGCTGATTTCACAGTTAAAAAGTTTCCCAGTGTGGCTCTTTCCGCGCAGTCCTGAAGCGAAGCCCGGCCAGCGTGAATCCTGAAGCAGTGCTCCCATTGACAGTAACACCGTGTAAGGGCTGAAGGCTGAAAGAATCCAGATACCTTATCACCAGCCCCCAAATCTCTCCGTCCCCGGCTCCTACTGGCTACTCGGCTGATGATGTCACTACATTTTTAGGAGTAGGGTTTCTACTGTGCGCACGGAGGTGCGCGGCGCTTTGACAGCTCTTAAGCGTTAATATTATTACAGAGGGAAACGCATGGAAATCAGAAGCCATCGTCAGACACGATGGTTCATTCCAAACGTGTGCAGGGAGGCGATAAGGGGGCGCGACACGTCCCGTACGACTCCAGCAGCACGGGTTTTCTCCGCCGCGCGAGTGGAGAGGCGCTTGCGTTCGGCGATCTCGCTTCTGAACGCGGCTAGGATCATGCTGACGCTAACGAGAGCTAGCAAATGCAGACGTACTTAATGCGGTTTGAAAAGGTTTGAATACTGCAAATCAAAAACAAGTGAATGAATACTCAGCTTTGACGCGCTTAGCGCGGCCAGCAGAGTAAGTAAGGCTTTAATCTCAGAAGTTGCACAGTGAAGATGTAGGAGTCAGAGGACACTACAGGTGACTGTTTAAAACGGAGAACAGGGGGCACTTGATTCTCCAAAACGTCGTGGGCATCTGGAGCAAAGTGCCCGGCCATGTTGTTTGAAGTCAATACTCTGGAGAACAGCTGGATGAGTTCTTGGGAGATTCTAGCTACAAACTACCAAACGGGCTAGACGGGGCTCCTTTGAAACCCTTCTTATTCGATTATATTCCGTGTTGTTTGTCTGAAAAGTGTCTCCTGTCTAAACCCTAACCCCCCCCCCAGTTATTCCCGGCTGGACGTGAAAGAAAAGGGCAAATATTAGCACTTTCAGCTCCACGCGTGAAGCAGTTCTCCCCTGTAATCCTTTGGCAAACAAACACGTTCCTACCGCCTGTGATCAATTATTAACCAGAAAACCCCTACATTATTAATAACCACAAACGAGCTATAATCGTTTCAACGCCACTCTGTTTTCGCCGGCAAGTCAACACGTTCAAATCGCACCTTGACTGGAAAAACGAAATGACAGCCTAAACTACTGCATGATAAACTCGTAAAAGTCCCAAACTGATCGGCCAAGCACAGGGGGACAGACAGCCTCTAGCCCCGGGTCTGCGCTCACCAACACCTGGACACATCGCATCATCAGACGGAACTCACCATGGCAACAGACCGTGACCGTAACCTGACGTTAGAAATGCTGGTCATCGAGCGCGCGAAGCCATAATGGAAAAAAAAAGTTGGTCTCGCTTATTAACAAACAGAACCCACTATGACGCACATAAATGATATATTCAGGGAGAAATGTTTTAAAGTTGTGGATTTAATTTTATTATATGTACCATTTCCTAAAAAATAACAGGTACACTCACTTATTTTCTGCGGGGGTGCACAGACGTCAGTTCAGACTGCTGCCAACGTGTCTCGTGGTGTTATCCCTCGGCTGGAGGCTGTGAAGCTGCAATGCGAACTACCACGCCATTGTGCAACCCACGCACAATTTAAATATCCGAAAATAACGATGAAATCTAATAATAATAATCCATCACGAGGATGGCCGAGCTGTCTGAGGCACTGCGTCCAGGTCGCAGTCTCCTCGGCACAAGTGGGTTCGTATCCCACTCCTGATTAGAAGGGCGGAGCGCTGGATCTGTGGCTCAGGATCTGCACCTGTGGCTGGAAGGTTGCCGGCTCATATCCTGCAGCCGGCAGAGGAATCCTACTCTGTTGGGCCCCTGAGCAAGGCCCTTAACCCCCTAACTGTTTGAGGGGCGCCGTATAAATGGCTGACCCTGCGCTCTGACCCCCAGCTTCTCTCCCTGTCTGTGTGTCATGGAGAGCAAGCTGGGGTCTGCGAAAAGACAAATTCCTTATGTAAGAAACTGTGTATGCCCAATAAAGTGATTAAAAAATGCATCTTTGAAACAGCTTTATTTTTTAACTATGCGGTGTCTTGAATCTGTCTTGTATCCAGACAGATTTAATAATGCAATTTTGTTTCTGACGCACTGAATGCTTTTTACTAATTTTTGGCTGCGCCTGTTGTGAAACATCAATTTACTGCATGTTTCGTAAACTGCAGGGATGCGCTGTATCCGTAACACATTGAAGCCGTAAATGAAAAATATGTTTTATTAACTTTTAGGTCAGAAATATTTGCGCTTTACTGAATTATATTTGTCACTTCAATTTCCGGAATAGCAGATGGTGTTGATCAGCAATAATTTCCAGATAAATCATCTACAACTTGAAGATGTTATTAATATTCTTGGGAAAAGACGAGCGCCCTCAACGCAACCGGCTCGGGCGAGCTGTTGAACTTTTTGCAGTCGTGCTGCCCTCTGCTGGGACAATCCACACGGAAAATAAACACACTAACAACCCTGATCTTCGACCTCGGGACTGAAGCGCGGCCAGGAGGCGCAAGCGAAGAGAGGAATTAGCCGGAACGCCTGGGCTAAAACGCCTGTTCCTTCGATCAGCGCCAAGAAACGGGACCCTGGTGCGTCGTTTCATCAGAGGAACCGCATAACCCTCCGCACAGGGTACTCTCTCGACATCCTGGGGCACTGGCGCAGAAAGTGTGTTCCGGGGGGGCAAGAACGCCCCCTACCGGTGTGGCACCAGAGGCACTTGCAGCAGACTGGTTTTCTGTGGAGGCCTGTCGACCCAGGACTGTCCAGGTTAGGGACAGCAGACAAATCGAATCCACACACGAGGGAGTATGTCGTTTCAAATGATGATTTAAAATTTCCCAGAAATGTTAAATAACATGCGTGAGGTGGGACTGATTATTTTTTAAATTATTTTGTCGAATTAAATTAAAAATAACGAATCTGGCCGTTTCAGAACATAAAATGCGGAATGCTTCACAATTCGGTGACACTACCATCCCGAAAATGAATAATACATACCACGAGTGGGCTGTGGTTCCTGTAGCTTTCAGAAATATTTTGCTGGTTTTATGAGCATAAGAAGTGAAAGGGATAGGATTTCTAAGTGATACACATAAGAAAAGTATTTACATGCATTTACATATATACAGATGGAAAAAAGAAACCAAAAAAAAAAAACCAGCTGATGCTGCAAGGAGAATAACTGTCAGAAAGTGGAGAATTACTGTGGAACTAAAAGGTAATTTGAGGTTGCCCAGTTTTCCAAAAGCCCTTTGATAAAATAAATAACATTCTCATCTGACATCATGCAAATATTAGCACATTTTCAGAGTGCCATGGAGCTTACAAGACACCTGACACCTTTAATTTATTTCACTCTTGTGAAATTTTGGTGTCCAGCAATGGGGAGAGGTGAGGGATACAAGTCAATTTCAAGATTTAGAAAGTAAAACCGTGATGATCAGAGAAAAACACCACAAGGAGAAAAGGCTCAGCTAAAAACAAAATTTTTTAAATCTCTTGTTAAAGAAAATGTTTTCTCATGATGTAAACTTTTCAATGCAACATACAGGTATTGTTTGTTAAATAAAATTAAAATTAATTCAGAATCTGTAGCATTTCCAGTTGTGAGTGTATTACTTCTAAATGGAACTTGTTTATCTGTTTCAATGTTCAATGTATTTCTCTGCAGGGCCAAAGGGAATGTTTCTAATTAAATGCTACCAACAGAACAATTTAGAATTTAAGTTGGAATATGTCATTATCCAACAGACGAATTAGGAAGAAAGTGATATTTCTAGACAGGGGTTCTAAATTAACACAATTACTTAACATCTCTTCAGATCTGTGTAATGAACTAAAACTTGAGAAGCATGTTAAGCTCTTTTCAATGTGAGGGATGTTTGAGTCTCATTACTCAGAATAGTTCCTTCTGTTGTACAAAGAAGGCTGCATGTTCCCACCTGCTGTAGTGTGCCATTAATCTCTATGAGGAGACAGAAAAACACATTACTGTATGGACTTAAAAAAGGTTCCCAGCCCAGGTAGAGGGTCAAGTAGATTCTTGTGGGAGAAATAGGATAGGTCAGTATGGTCAGTGCCCCTAATCGCTTGAGAATGAATAGTGTGTTTGGGTTGTGAAAGAGAATGTGACAGAGATGACTGCCTGTGTTAACTCAGCTTCTGGAGTGTCCTGGGTCACCTGTTCCGAGTCACCTGTGAATGAGCAATGAAATATGAGCCAGAGCACACATGTGGAAGCTATGCAGCGGTGCCTTTTAAACTGAGAACAGGAGGCACTTCTTTACGCAAAGGGTTGCCGGAGCATGGAACAAGCAACCCAGCCATACTGTCGAAGTTGGTTCTTTCACTTTGACTGGATTCTTTCAAGATAATATGCTTGGATCAGCTAGCTATTAACTGCAAATGAGCTAGATGGGCAGAAAGACCTCCTCTCATTTGTAATCTTTCTTGTGTTCCTGTGCCTACTATGCAGAGACACTTCAAGTGCTTCCACAGAGGAGTGAGTCAACAGTATCTAGGGAAACTTGGCACTGGAAAACCACACTGGAGTTCCATCCAGAAACTGCAGAGGGGCAGCCAAAGACCTGTCTGAGGAAAAGAGCCATTAGTATGCTATTATACATGAGAGCCTTTTTTAATGGAGTGCTGTAACATAAAGAGAAATCCAAACTTTCCACGAATTACGTCAATATATCTGCCTGTGTTACTGCACTGCTTGAAAGAACTGAGGGCAGTAGAGATGATATAGAATTACAATTGTCGTCCTCTTTATTTATATTTCATTTCTTCATCAGTTTGTCCATCTGTCTTTCTGATCTGTGGTTTTGTGAAACGGGATGAAATGAGGAGACCGTTTCATTCTTAATATCTAGATGGCTGCTTTTACAAACCTCACAAATACCCCAAAGAACATCTGGAAATGAACAAAGTATCAGGTCAAATTGATGACTTGTGAAAAGTGTTTGTACTTTTTCTATAGCAACATTTTAAAAATTCTAAAAGTTAATAAAGAGACTTCCAATTCTGTAATACCACACAAAAACTAGTGCTAACAACATTTGTCAACTCAGAATTGAATTCTACTAATGGTTTCCCCATTAGTTACCAGAGGATTAAATTTAGATGAAAACTAGCAGGGCCAGAAAAGGAAAAGGTCTCTGTCTCTTTCAGGCTCTCTCTTCTGGGCTGTGAGGGGAGATTACATTGTTGTCTGGCGGCCCTGTGTGTTGACAGTGGGTGCACCCCTGCTCAGCGGGTGTGTTTGTCTGAGGGTGTCAGTGTTTAACGATCTCGCCTGCCTTGCCCCATCGCTGTGACCC